GCAGCAGCACACAGACATTAAGCCCCAACGGGTTTTCCTGAAGATTTTTCTCAAAATACCATGCTGAAATGTAATTGAGTGTATCTCAACATTTACAAATTCTACTTAAATAATCTTGGTATCAAAATAAAGCGAACATTTGGGAGATTTTATTAGAATTGTAAGTATTAAAACAGCTGCCATGGGTTTAGAGATATTGGGCATGGGTGGGGTGTGCGGCTGGCCGCCGGCGTGCTGGGGGTTCCTGGGGTCTGGGGCTGGGCGCTGGGGTGTGTGCCGGCCTGGTCTGGTGACTYCCTGCTGGGGCTCGGGGCCTCTGGCCCTGTCGGGCTTTGGCCTGGAGGGGGTGTGCCCTGGGGGCCCGGACCTCTGTGCGCTTTCCTGGATCTGCTCTGGTATCGCGGGTGCCGGTGGGGCCCATGAGTTTGTTGCTGCTGGCCCCGCGGGTTGTGCGTGTGGTCGCTGGGGGGACTCTCCACGTTCTCCCCTATGGTCTGATCTGGGGGGTGGGTGGGCAGATCTTCCCTTGCGGGTGCCCCACAAGGAGCACCCGGACCCCACGAGGCTGCGTTTTCCTTAAAACTGGGCCCCACGATGTAGGAAAAACAAGGACACACACACAGTGAGTGGGGATGATCCACCGCCAGTTAGTGTGTGACATATTTACACAATGTAATTGATACAGTTTTACATGTAAGCAGAAGCTGATCTCAGATCGGAGCCGGCTGACATTTCTGCCAGAGCTGGGCTCCAAATTACTGCAGGCTGAAGCGACAATCAGAATGTGTGTATCAGATTATCATACACACATTCTAACTTCTAACCAATCAAACGCCTTCACATTGGCCATTTTAGAAGCAACGATTAATTAAAATATATCCTTCTATCAGTGTGAGGATGGCTGAAAAACGCAGGCAAACACACACACAAAAAAACAACTAAAATTGCTTGAAGGAATGCACCCTGCTCGRCCACGTGTTGTGTGCACGCAGTAACGAGCAACATCAGTTACCACGTCCTAGCTGACAGAGAATCTACACCGGCATGCACTCAAAAAAACAGATCGTTGGATTTACTTGAAAAGGTTATGTCATCAGTTTCCACTCAGCTGAGTTTAGTAAGTGTAAAGCAACATTCACATTTTCTTTAAAAATAAATGTGAAAGTTGCTTTAAATGCTCAACTCAGATGAGTGAAACTTGTTTCCATAACTTGGTTKAGTAAATCCAACAATCTGTTTATTGAACGCGTCAAACAGATTGTTTTTAATGTGATAAAATTAACAATGGCTGATGCTATGCTCTTTTATTGAGAAAAATAATATATTTTTTCTACTTTTATTTGAGTCACTTGGAAAAACATTGATTTAAATTAACGTCTTTACATTTTTAAGCAAAACTTAGACTTTGTTCTGACTTTAACAGGCTTGTTTGATGCCCTCTTTGACCAGATTAGTACTATTCTTTACTTTAAAATACAATCAATACCATCAATAATATTGTGCACAACAAAAACTGTCCAACTGTCAAAAATTACTCTTTAAAAAACTTTTATTTCTTCAACAAAGGCCTTTTTCTTATGCTGCTCAGGGAACTATTATAAATATTCAACGTTTTCAAGCCTGGAAAACTGAAAAGTGAACCTCAGAACAGAAGGAGAGGATGTTCACCTTAAAAAGCCCTGGAAGTGAAGATACTGTAAATATATATTTATGCCGTGTGGATGTAGTGTAGACTGCGGGGCAGATGTGTATAAGTATGTGTCTTTCTTTACTTAATAAAGCTCATGTTTTATCACTCGTGTCCTGGATTTCTGCATTCCTTCCACATGACTCGCTGTGACTCTGGGAGAATGTGATGATGATGATGATGATGTACGCTCCAATCTAAACAGCAGTATAATATGTCCCGTGTACAATGGACGCTGTATGACTCTGGTCCTAAAACTTGTCAAATCTGAGGAATTTTCTGAGGCTTGTTGCGTGTGATAAAAGCTCTGGCCTCTAGATGTCAGACTGAGTCATTAAACAAGAGCCCTCTTCTTCTTCCTGTTTGATTTACAGCTTCATGGCTTAAATGCTTCACATTCAAATAAAACACGTCATTTATAAACTTTAATTCTTATTCAAACCACACAATCAAGCAGATTTATATAAAATKTCCTCTCATTCCATTCAGTCCAAAGGAAGATTTAGTTTCTGGTGTTTGAACTTGTGGAAACTTTATGGGAAGCTGACAAACTAATTTACAACTTAGAGTTTTTCCCAGATGTTTGGTTTTTTGCACAGTCAAATTCTTAACGGGCTATAAAACTGCAAAATTAAATGATGAGTTAATTTCAAGCAAAGTGACAGGAAAACAGCTTTGTTTCCAAATTAAAGCTGTATTTTAAAAACTTAAACTTTCTTCAAAGAAAACTTCTTCCCTGTGTTTTAAATGCCACAGACACTTCCTGTTTGCTGAACTGATTCTGCTTACGTGAAATGTTTTGTTGACCCTTTTTTATATTTCACTGTTATAAAATCCACTATTATCTGGATGTTTAAATGAACTTGAACAGAAAACCTTACCATGTTTCATCCTAAATAAAATATGTTGGTTTAGTTTCCCACTTCTGGATATAWATTGATGTTTTTATGAACAATAGATACTTTTTATCTCTGCCTTCGATGATTTTGTGTGTCCAGAGAAGTTGGAAAAACCCAGACAAAATGAGCAAAATCAGGACAAATGACAAGTTCCTTCAGAGGATGTTCAGAGTGGATGACATCACAGCTCAAGTAGAACGTTTTATTCAGCCTTTTTGGAGACTTTAATATGYAAATGGTAACAAATTTTCTGAAACACTGTTTGCTGATTTTGGAGATTATATTTTTGAAAAAAGACAAACAAAACATGTTTTGGAGCTTTAGGGTGAAATGTAACTCCTGAATTTAAGGATCTAGGATCTAAAAAAGTCAATTTTTCATAATGAAATAGTATTTAATTTAGTTAATTTTTTCTCTGACTTTTTGTATTGTATTATTCTGATGTATTCGAGTTGGTTGTTGTTGTTTCCCGGTGTTTGCGCCGGCTGTTTCGAGTTGTGAATTATGTTGATTTGTTTGTGTCCTGATGCATCTCAGTAATCCAGGTAGAAAAAATCAAAAAGAAAAAATAAGTAGGTCCTCTGGATGGTTCTTCTTTAGTGAAACGTTTCGTCAATCCTCCAAGAGACTTCTTCAGTCTGATGAGTTTTAGGTGAACTCAGCCTTATAAGCACTGCCTCCACATGGACAAGCAGGTTGGTCACATGCAAAAGAAGGCCATCGCAAACAAGGGGACATTGAGCCCCYCCTGCATTTACTACATACACATAACACGACACCAGAGAACCACAGCATCCAAACCAAAAAGTCAGGTGATGGGGCACATGACCCTCTATGAACAACAGAGCTAATCAAGTCTATTGTTAGMCGATGGCCCTCTTTTGCATGTGACTAACCTGTTTGTACATGTGGAGGCAGTGCTTATAAAGCTGAGTTCACCTGAAACTCATCAGACTGAAGAAGTCTCTTGGAGGATTGACGAAACGTTTCACTAAAGAAGAACCCATCCAGAGGACCTACTGATTTTTTCTTTTTGATTGATTTCTTTGTGTTTTTATTTTGGGTTGGAGCAGTTCCTGCTGAGGCAGAGCCTAATGTCGACCCTAAAACAACAAAACCAAAGTTGGACAAGCACCTCCCGGCTCAGCGTGTTGTTCTAAAGTATTTAATGTAGCACACAAACTAGCACAAATGAAATGTCTTCAAATCTAACCCAGTCCTCTGAGTGATGACGCCTGCAGTGATTAAATTCCTGACCCACTGTTGCCTTATCCTCATGTCAATTGTTGAAGCAACACTTAGAGATTAGAGCTTCGTTCGTCATCAGACACAAATGTTCAACAGCTAGAATCCAAATTTACCAAAGTTTAGGTTTTGCTGCGGAGCATCAGCCCCCAGCGTTTTGACCTTTCAACCCCACCTGGGTCAGCTCTCCTCTTTGACACCCAGGGACCCAAAACTACCATCAGCCCCACTCGCCATTACCCAGAATGCCCTTATGCTATCTGGGAAGAATGAAAACGATTGACGTCTTTCTGGCCATCTGCCATCCATCTCTCCCATCCGTGCCTCTCCCCAGCCTCGCCCATCTCTGACTCTTCCCTGAGAGGATTAAGAGCGTTGGTTTCTCTGCACGTCGTCTCATCAATGTGTAAGCGCAGCTTCTGTGTGCGTTATGTGTGTATTTTGTCTCCGTGTGTCTGTTGCAACCGGTAATATCTTTGTCTGCAGGATTTTTCCCTCTATCTTTAGTCACCAAACACTGACGCGTGGCCCCCTTTTCCACAGCAAATCCTTCCACTGATTGTACAAGTTACTTAAGGAACAGAAAAAACTGACAAATCACTATCGTTTTAAATAAATCTCTAATGTTTTATTGCATTATACAGACACTTGGACCTGTGGATCTGAAGGAGGACGTAGGGAGACAGCTTCAGTTTGAAATAAAAGGCAATTCACTGGGAAACAGGAAATCAGTTAAGCTATTTTCTTTTTTAGCAAGTAAAATCGATAAATCAGATGAAACAACTTTAAACACACAACAAAGTTAAAACTTGTATCCATCATTTCACACACACCAGACAACGACAAAATAAAATCTTACAGAATATAAACAATATTAACATGACCATCGCATGAGGGAAACAAGAGGGCGGGTAGAGAAGTGTATAAAAATAACTTCTGTTAGCAACATTATTAAAGGGAATTTCCAACACTAAGCAATGTTTGTAATTACAATTAAACCAAGAGTTACATATTATAAACAACAACATAATACCTAAAGCTTTTTAGCATGAAGCTGCTAATTAGCTTAGCGTAGATGAAACTTCYCCTGGCTCTGTCCATTGGTAAGAAAAAAGTCTACATCTGTGACGTTTTATTTGTGCTCACTGAAACACCATTAGTTCAGCATCATGAAAGTAAGAACAGAGAGGTAATAATGGCTAAAATAATAAGCTTTTGCAAATGATCTATAGGAAATATAAGGTATTTAAATCTCTGTTTCAATCAATATCTTATTATCTAAATGAAATATTTTATATAGTATTTTCTATCTCAGATTAAAGCAGTTATATTCCAGTGACAGTATATTGCTTCTACATGATAGAGCACAGTCTATCACCTCCATGGAAGACATGAAGATTTACAGTAGAACACCGAAGTGCTGCTAAGAAGGWCCTATGGAATGGAAATGTAGCCAAAATCAGCAGTGACTCAAATAAAAGCCTGGATTCAGCTACAAGTGGACACGTTTTAAAGGCTGTAGTCATCCGGTTCTCCTTGTGCTTACATGACAACCTTTTTGATTTGTTTAAATAAAGTTTATGAATCTTTTTAAACTCATTAAAAAACAAGAACATATTCTTAACTWCACCACTAGATGTCAGTATTTCTTATGCAGTGTACCTTTAACWGCACTTACCGATTAGTATCAGCTGATTTTGAATTTTATCAGCACACACTAAAATATTTTGTTACCTTTGGACAGAACCAGACCCTAAAAGATGAATGAATATAARTAAAAATGTAATTTTAACTTATGATTTTTGCAGTTGTGCTTGTGAAGGCTGGTAAGAACAGAAATGTACCTACGTTGTCTACAGCAGGCGTAAATCTTTGCCACCAGCCACATCTAAGGAAGGTAAAGAAGGTCAGGCAATCGTGACCATTCCAGGTTTTGTTTGATATTGAGGAAAAACTTCTTCCTAAATTTTAGAGAGATTCTRCACAGATTTAACTGAGTGTTTCACTGCCATATTTTTGATGCACATTACATTTGTTTTGTGAGTTTCTGTGCAACCAGCTAGAGATCTACTGAGTATCTCTGCTGTAGCGTTATCGATTTTAAAAAAAGAAGAAGAAAGAAACAAAATGACTAAAGCATTATCCCGGTGATTCATCCCGGTAAAGCGCCGTCATGGCAGATCGCCAAGCGGGATGGCGCACCTCCGGTCATAAGCGGTGTCATCYCTCTCCTCGCCGTCGCTCACTTCCCCCAGAACCCTCTCCCTGTCTTCCTCCTCCTCCGTTTCACTTTCTCTCCTCAGTCGTTCCCGCTCTCTGTCCCGCTCTCTGTGGGAGCGTGGAATTGTGGAAATCTGAGCGCAAAGACCAGGATGCAAGGTCAGACGAGTCAAGAAAAGAAATACTCAGAATAAAATTGTTTTCCTGGAACAATGGCTGCTAAAGATCTATGTTGGATTATTAAAAAAGCTAAATGAAACAAATAAAAACATCATTCTAAGACAAGGATAAAAGTAAGGTCTAAATTTTGGTGTTGTAAGGAGGAGGTAGATACCTGGTTGTCGTGGCTGGGCAGGGGGCAGTAGCCCGGCTCCGTCCGGTGGCGGAGGCGAGGAGAATGGGTACGGAAAGGTCGAGGGGAATGGGAGCAGACGGAGCGCGGAGACGGGGAACGGACGGAGCGTGGCGATGGGGATTGGACGGAACAGGAGGGGGAGTGAGTGATGGACTGGGACTGGGAGAGAACATGGCTGTGGTGGTTCAGTTTGAGCGGGCGGGGGGACCGGGGGGGCAGCTCGGGAGGTTTGAGAGGATCCACCAGGTCCATTTCCGTGAGGATCGGAGGRGGAGGGATGAAATCAAGCGCCTCCTCTGCGGGGAGCATTTCGGCCGCGTCGAGATCGGACAGCTCCGCTCTGGACAAATGATCCACAATCCCGGCGCCGAACGAGTCGCCCACCACATTGATGGAGGTACGCATTCTGTCACTGAGTGGACAAACAGAGAGGCGGGACARGGCGACACTTTACCAACCCTTCACGTTTAAACCAGGCCTGTCAGGAGCCCAACATGAAGCACAGACTCATCAGACGCCTGACTCACAGCAGCCAGTCGACAGCGATCAGCAGACTGATGTCCTGAGTGGGCAGGCCGACGGCGGTCAGGATCAGCAGCATGGTCACCAGTCCAGCACTGGGAATACTGGCAGCTCCGACACTGGCCAGGGTGGCGGTCATGCTGAGGAGAAAACTAYATTTTATTTTCTGCTGCTTTCTGTGACCAACACGTTTGCAGACTGTAAAAAAAAAACATTCCCCGTCCAGCACTTTCATCTTTTACAAACCATTTACAAAAAAACTAGAAGCACTCAGAGAAAGCAACAAACCCCCGCCAAGGCCATAGGGAAGCACATTTGCTGACAGGGTTGGACTGACCAACAAGTTCAAGTTCAAGTTTAAGTTTATTTATATAGCACCAAGTCACAACATGCGTTGTCTCAGGGCACTGTACATGAAAAAAGAACAATCTAAAGAAGAAACCAGCAGATCGTGTTGAATCACTTCATRACAGTCTCCCATCCTGAGCAAACGGTGGAGAGGAAAAACTCCCTGCTAATCAGGAAGAAACCTCCAGCAGAACCAGGCTCAGGACAGGCGGCCATCTGCCTCAACCGGCTGGGTTGGACAACCTGTCCAAAGCATTTTTTCCCATCCTAACAAGTTCAAAAGAAAACCAGTTGGGCGGAAAACTGCCCAATCTGGCAACACTGTAATTGCCAAATAAGTTCCGACAAATCGAATTTACCTCACATGGTAGAGATAATTAAGTTATCCATCAACGTGAATAGAATTTGTTTTTCTACGTCTACAGACAGCGTGTAACATCACCAAAAGTTGTTGATACGACAGAATAATAATTCCAACTTTGCCGATAGGAGCAACATGTTCCTGATAAATTCTCTCCAGTTTGTGACTTATYCTTCCTYTTTCCTARAGACATGCGTAACATAAACYTCTGATGTAATTACTTTGCGTGGCTTGGTTGATTCGCAAGAATCCTTGAAAAAATTACTGTGTCCTGATTGTCACCAAAATTTAATGGTGTTCCTTTGGCCAGTACCCACCTGTGGTAAAAAAATTTAGTGACAATCAGTCCATAAGTTGTTGAGTAATTTTGTCCACAGACAGACAGAGAGACAGACAGACAGACAGACAGACAGACAGACAGAGAGACAGAGAGACAGACAGACAGAGAGACAGACAGACAGACAGACAGACAGACAGACAGACAGACAGACAGACAGACAGACAGACGCAACCAAAAACCTTACTTCCTTGGAGGAGGTAATAAGAAGAAATACATGAACATGTAGAAGCTGCGCTGCAGAAATCAGATCTCCAGTAGCATATCTGTTAGTTACAGAGTCTTTTATATCAAAAACTCACTTAAAAATACATTTATATTCCTCATCGGTGTCTCCCTGGAGATGCCGCATCAGTTACAAACACTGTATTGACCCTGGAGGATCCAGATGTGAATCCTTTGCTCTCTGCTGTACTGTAAGCAGATGTGTCTGCTGTGCACACACAGCAGATCAGATCAGAGCGCCGTGGAGTTTTAAAACTTTGCTCCACATCCTGAAACTGTTTGCATGTGAACCAAACGTTCCAGCATCACTGCAAACGGAAGCGACAAAGCCACATTTATTAGTGGAAATGACTTTGTGTGAACGCTGAGTCAGCATTTTGCCCTTCTTGCTACTTTTTCCATCAGGCCTAATTAAGCTGAATTAAACAAAAAACCCTAAATTTCCGGGGTTTCCACTTCAGAATGAGAAAAATTTACAGCAGGCGGTGATGTTGAAGGTTTGACCCAACACGAGTATCAGGACCAGCTGATCCTGGTGTGCATTTGTGTCGACTTCCTGTCTGAACATATGCAGACCGTCCACAACAAAACATTTAGGAATGCTGCTTCTCACAACATGTCTGCCATTTAAGAAATTATCAGTACATGTCGATCTTTGCRCCAAACCACATTTATTACCCTTCGGATCTCGGGGTTCTGTGTCGCGGTTCGTCTTCGTCTCCACAGCTCCAGTCATCAACCTCGAAGTGGGAACGTTAGGAGCTTCACACACCACATGTGGATCATATTTTACTAACAGATTCACTTCGTACAATAGCCACACAGCACGTTTGGAAAATTAGATTTTGGAATTTGGTGGTAAACAGACATAGCTAAAAAATGTACAYTAAACAGCTTTCAAAGACCTGAGCGTTGTTAGTATCCCGCAGCTACAACGAGCCGAGTCTCATCCAAGACTGGTTCTAATTTGGACTTAATGTTTACTTCCAACTTCAAAGCCAGGGGGGAGAAAAATTATTTGATTACTTTTTAACAGCATTCGTTTTAGTGGGMTTTTTTTCTCTCTGCTATTTATTTCTGCATATCACAACAATCTGTTTTAATCATGAAAGTCTTTTAAAAACAACTGAAAATTTGTCTAGACTGTTTGATATAAAGGAACAGACAAAACAATTCTCGGAGTGTTTTCTTTGCAACTTAAAGATTTTAAGATTTTAATTTAGATTTGCCAAGAGTAACACAGTGTTAAAGTATGTTGAAATGAACTTTTACTCCAATCTGGAAGGCATTCAGACTGTTGTGCTCCATGGTAAGTGTCCAAAAGTTTAAAAAAAAATACAGAAATTGGTTTTCAAACCATGACCCCAGCTAAACGAAGTGCTAAGTGGGTGTGAAAGTTGGATTCTTAAGTTTCCTGGAAGCTACTGAAACTGTAACTGCCACCCCCAGTAATATTCTTGGAAAGATTTGGAGACAAGAAGCATGACAAATAAGCTTTAAAACAAGTTATGAGCTGTTTCTAAAGAAATAACAATAAACATGGCTGCTATTGTTCATCTCAGGCTATGTTCACACTGCAGGTCTCAATGTTCAGTACTGATTTTTTTTTTTGAAAAACAAAAATCAGATTTTTTTTGGAGCGAACATTCACATTACATTTTAAATACAGCTTCCATCAGACTCCAGTGTGAACGCTCCACAGCACTGATGTGACACGCAGTAAAACAGGTGACTTCTCATTCAGCCGGCTTGTTTGTTTACAGAGTTAGCATGGATGCTACTTTTAGCACGTCAAATCTGAAGCTGTTCAATCAGAGCTGATTAAATAATTATCTGACTTGTTTAGTTCAGTTTTAAAGTTGTAAACACATGGAGCTACAGGTTTAAACAGTGTGACTCGAGGTTAGTTATCGATRCTTRACCTCCACATCACTGATGAAAAAGTTGGATAAAAACATCAGATATGTATCCGATTTATTACCACATACTGAAAAGGCCTGGGTCGGATTTGAAAAAAAAAATCTGATTGTCGCGTTCAGACTGTCATAAAAAAGTCAGATGTGTGTTGCATTTGCCTGCAGTGTGAACGTAGCCTTAGAGCTGGATGTCTAATGTGAAAATATCATAAACTAAAAAGTATCTGATGAAATGTTGCAGGGTGTCAATGCAGCTGCAGCCCAACATTCCAATCAAACTGTAATAATCCAGGCAAAAAAAAAAAGCCTACATTGAACAATACTACGAATGATACGTCTACAGCAGGYTTATTCAACTGGTGGCCCACGGGCCACATCCAGCCTGCAAATGACCAAAGTTCGGCCCGCCAATTGGTTCATTCATCTTTTAAGCCCAAACCCCTGGTTTTCTACTTTAACTAGCTTAAGTTCTTTTAGCTGGACAAAGACATGTTTGGTATCTACAGAAACATCAGAATCTCGGCTAGAAGCTGGTAAAAACCACTCAAGAAAGTTAAAACTACAAGCAGTTGAAGATAAAACTATGAAAGTGAAAATAAAATTGGTTTAAAAATGTGTCACGTCAGAGAGGTTAAAATATTTGTGGTAAATAAGAGGCATCATGTGTTACTTTTGTTTTTGTTGTTTAATTCTCACTACTTTTATTACACAGGGTATGTTGTATTCATGATTAAATGCAGCAAAATAAACTATTTCAAAGGTATCAGATATTTGTGATACTTTTATTTATTTTTATTAATTTTTTTCCTGCATCTTTCCTTATGTGGTTTTTAATTTTTCTGTTGTTAAAGGTAGCACAACTGTGTTTGCTGCATGACCTGTTTCACCTGTTCCCCCATGTTTGTCTTGTATGTCTTTTTGAATGGGTGTTTCTTAACTGCCCCCTCCTCCCTTCCCTGAATGTACAGCACCTTGTGAATTTATTTCTGTGAAAGGCGCTATATAAATAAAACTTTACTTACTTACTTAATACTTGGTTTAATTATAATGAACTGCTGGATGTTTGGACCCTCAGCTATCTGCCTGCAGTAACTGAGCCCCCCGGAGTAATTTAGTTGAATAGCCCTGGTTTACAGTTTAGTAAAAGCTTCTCATACTCCACACTCAGAAAACAATTTGAAACTCAAACACATCACTTGTGACACATTATGTCCGTTCCATTTATCCACATACCTCACGGTGACGATCTGTCCAGCATCTAGCGCGATGTCATTCATCTGGGCAATAAAGATGGCCGCCACAGCCTCGTAGAGGGCAGTGCCGTCCATGTTGATGGTGGCGCCGATTGGCAGCACGAAGCGAGTCACACGCTTATCGATCTTCAGGTTTTCCTCCAGGCAGCGGAAGGTGACGGGCAGCGTGCCCGCACTTGGAAACACAAACGCCCACGCAGACGAGTGGCGGCAGATTCAAAAACAGGGAGGAGAGCGAAGGACACGGGATAGGCAGACAGTTGGTGGGAGACAGAAACGCAGAGGTGGGGAGGAAGGTGAAGGGGTAACACAAGAGTCAATAAAAGGCAGCAGACATTCGAGTCGGAGCCCGAGGCCTCTTCCTGACAGCTGGTGGGAAGCCACTGTTTCAATCCCTCAATATGTGAATTAGAGGAATCGGATTCCTGGTCCCGACCCTGCTCTGCTCATAATGTAATTAGAGAAAATGTTGATAGGATTACCCGTTTTCACTAAAACCTCAACGATGTGCAAAAATGACAGTTGCAGGCAGGCAGGCCGAGCCAGGCCAGGCGGGGATACAGCGGGGCCGGTTTGTCTGGTGACAACTAATCCAAGGGCTTAGACTTTTACAACCCACAATCTGTCTGACACGGACGGCTCCATGATAGCCTGGACTCACACACGTTTGGCTCTGCTGTCCTGKACAGCCTCCGCAGCTGCAGCAACACTGAATGTTACATCAGGCCTTTTAGGTTGACCCGAAGCAGTCAGTGACCGTAACTAAAGCAGCTGTTCGAGGAAGTTGTAAAGTGTGACAGACTGATACACTCACATGTAGATAAACAAATCTGTTGGGAACTTTCCATAATATTAAAAAAGGCTAGCTAAAAGTAGCATTTATTTTTGAGTTCTTTTTAATTTATTACATGCTATAAGCATTAAGTTTAAAGTTAAAATCCATGCTGTTTTCTGGTAGGAAGAAGATCCCACCAGTGTCCTCATTTCTCACCACATTGGATGGTACCATCGTTGAGGAGGTGGTCTCTTATAAATATCTGGGAATTATTATCAACAATAATCTTTTTTTTTGCCAGGCACACTGATTCCTTAATTAAAAAACTGAGGATGCAATTGGACTTCTTTTATAGGAGAAAAAAAAACTTTGCTTCTCGTTGGCCGTTAGGAAGCGGCTCATCACTGCCGTCTTCCTTCCCATTTTGGGAATATCAAAACTATTAATGAGCTGRGAGGAGACAAGAAATGAATCTACAACTGCCGGTCATACCTGCTGGCGGTGCCCAGAGCTGTGATCCAGGCCTGGAAAATCCCAGAGTAGAACACAAAGGGGCTCTTTCTGGTGATGGCGAAGAATATGGCAGGTAGGATCAGGCCGCCGTGGATCACCAGACCCACCATCACGGTCACCATGTAGAGGCCCAGCTGCCGGGCCACCACCTCCAGGTCTCCGATGGCGGCGATCTTCCCCGCGATCAGAGAGGCGATGCCGATCGGAGAGTACCTGTGGATCGAACAGATACCATTATTTTTCTTTTAAACACCGTGTTTTTATTTAGGAGGTTTGAAAAGTTAGTGTTTGTGTTGGCAGGAACAAAATAAATCACAATACTAAACAAAAAAAGAGAAAAAACTTTCAGTTTTGCCTTTTTTTGTCTATGAGCTGAAATCTAAACATGTAAGTGATGTGGTTAATATGGCAAAGAGGACGTTTTTGTTAAAATAAAAAAAGCAAACAAATATTTTCTAATATGGTTTCCTAAAACAGAGGTTCTCAAACTGGGGTCACAGGACTCTCAGAAGTCCGCAAAAGGTTTCTTGGGGGTCCTCAAAAACTTTCACTAAATTGTTAATTTAGTTTTCATTTTTAAAAATGCATGGAGAACAATGATCTAATAAAACAAACATAAACTTAATAAAAATATACATTCCCGTGGCATTTATGGGTTGAAATGACAAAAAATTATCTTTTAGAACAGCTTGTAAGGGGTCCCCAGACCCAAATGACTTCAGAACTCCTGTCCTAAAAGAATAGTTTTCCATTAATTTTGTCTCTTAGATTAGTTTAATAAAAGTCAGTATTTATAATCAAAACGTCACCCAGTCCTGCTCTTTACATTTTAAAGTCAAAACACTAAAGCCTCTTTTGCAAAAAAAAATCATATTTTCTATATTTTTGTGAAATAAAATGTGACACAATAACAGATCTTTCCAGTGAAGATCTGTTTCTCTCCCAGAGGACGGGACACATTCTTGGATCTCCGGTTTCCTGCTTGGCGCTGCAGTTGTTCCCATTCATAAATTCAGACCCACCGTTCTTCTTTTGGGAGATCTGAATTAAAGCGACGCTCTGCATAAGCCCCGCCCCCCCAGCCGAGACGTTTCTCGTCGTGACAGCGGCCTGCTCCTCCAGGTCAGCTGCGTGCTGAAACCTGAGGCAGGCGCTCGCTGACAGTTGTTTAGCGGAGCATGCCGTGTAGATTAGACGTTTTTCTGTACACACTGAACTCTGTTTGGTTTGCTCCACAGGCCTCGGACTAATATGTTTACACTGAGTGAGTGATGCGAACGATTCCTCTGGTGTCCAGCTGCACATGTAGTTTCTCTTCTAACCCCCCCACCCCCTGTTTTCCTGCTCTGAGAGCCACGACTCTGCTTATTTCTCTGCGTGACAATCCAGAGTCTTGCAAAGCCTCAGTTGGTGCTCCGCCTCCTGAAAGCATGCATCTTTCTTCTGTTTGCATCTGCCGCCGAGCTGCTCCTCTGCCCCTCTGTGGATCCATTACATTTTGGAGGTCTTCCACCTTGGCTCCCCTGGGAGCCCGCGGCATTGCTCCTGCTGCTCCTTGGCATACCTCAGACTCCAACATGTCCCAGGGAAACCCTCTCCCATCTGTCTGCGTCCTTCACAAACACACTTCATCCTCCTTGCCTTCTTCTAAAGTTGTCACAGTTTCACCTCCGCCTGTCACTTTCCCTTCACTGTCGCTGACCTCCTGTGTGTGTGTGTGTGTGTGTGTGTGTGTGTGTGTGTGT